GTACCTAAGCAATCAGCGGTCACTTAAGAATAAGACATTGTTCCTCATGTTTTTAACAAAAATATGGTCTATGCATAACTAATTGCAATAAGTGATAAATGATAACAGTACAATAATGAAATACTCCTTCTTAAAATAAAATTCTGGCCCTGCTGATTATTTTAATTTTTAATTGAGAGCTTTTATAATCAAACACCACTTTCATATCAACAACTAATTCTATTTTTAACATATTCTTATTTTCTTTTAAATCTTAGTATACTTTACATCCATAGATTTGAATTTTTTTTGCATAATTGGTACAAAATTATATAAGACAGCAAATATATCATGCTTCATATTATGATGTCCAAAGTTTTCAATCCCTATGAATCATACTTGTAGAGATGCTGCTTGTGAAGGCTGCTTTAACCTTAGCACTGGTCGGTTCATATTTGTTTACTTGCTTTAATTTTGCGGTGCTCAATTGCGGTTTCATTTTATACTGTTTGTAATGTAATAATCATAAAACATAACAAGAGGATACCTGCAGTTTTTTTTGTAATTTCTTCTTTAAGTGGTAGAGCCATGCTGCAGTTATAATAGGAGTATAGTTGTAGCACGAATGGGTCGGCGCGACAGGGGAAGGACCACGCTCTCACAGAACACCAGCGTTAAATAGTAGCTTAATGCTGCTGTGTTTCGTATGGTGAGTGTAGAAACTGGAGACCCTTTTTCTTGGAAACGAGGCATTCCACCAAGTCCTCACGGATGACAACGCATCTGCATTTTGATTCGTAATCGAGGATACATGTAGATGTCTGTGGGCCACAGCAACCACTTACCATCAGGTGAACTGTGTGCTCGTTTGTCATTCTATCCTATAAAAAAAAAACAAATTTTGAAATGGTTTAAATTAAATACATCGCCGAAAATTATCGCCGTAGTATACGGTCACTTCTTAATAGAAATACTGTTATCAGTTAACTTACCTGTAATATATCTATTAAACGTTTATCCCGTAAAACAAAAAAATCATTAATAATTTTGCTACTCCAATCACTAAGTAAAATTTTCCATGGACAAATAAATGGGCTGTTTATAGCCAATTTTTGATAATTAACCCTTTTACTTGGAGGTCGCCGAAAATATTTTTCTTTTAGTTGTAATTCTATTCTTTTCTCTTCTAAGCTTCCTGCATCTGAGTCTGGGGGTAAATAACACTCCCCCATTTCAAAGGCAACACATTCAGTTTCACGGAGACCTCCAGAACGAGCACCAAACATTATAAGGGTTTGCCAAAATGGAAGGCCGTATCCTGCAGGGACAATAATATCCCATCCAGTTCCATAACCTAAAAATTCGATATAATATATGAGAATGTACATATATTTATATAAAAGACAGTACTTATATAATATATATTATGTTGAATTTTTGGTCATTTTACAAGTAAAATATACATATACATACTATAAATAAGCATTAGAACCATTGTGGTTGCAAATCATTTTTGGTGTAGGTTTGGACATGAATGTAAATTGAGCACAGATTAGGTGTCCCATGAAATGTATGTAGTGTTTCTATGTTTGTCTAAGATCAGCCCATAAAAAACAACAACAAACAGTGAATACACCAACATAATTCCACACACATACATAATTTGTATCTTAGACACTGCAATCCTACACCAATGTAAGTATTACATCATCATCATCATCAATACAGCCCTTCACAAGTCCACTGCTGAACATAGGCCTCCCCCAAGTAACGCCACAAAGCAAAGTCCTGAGCCACCTGCATCCATCGACTTCCTGCATGTCTTACCAGGTCGTCACTCCATCTAGTGGGGGGTCGCCCTACACTACGCCTACCGGTACGAGGCTGCCACTCGAGAACCTTTCTTCCCCATCGGTTATCGGTTCTTCGAGCTATATGGCCGGCCCATTGCCACTTCAGCTTACTAATCCGTTGGGCTATGTCGGTCACTCTGGTTTTACTGCGGATATCCTCATTTCTGAGTCTATCATGCAGAGAAACTCCGAGCATAGCCCTCTCCATAGCTAGTTAAGCGACCTTGAGCGTCCTCATACGGCCAGCAGTGAATGACCACGTCTCTGATCCGTAAGTCATCACTGGCAACACACACTGGTTGTACACTTTAGTTTTCAGAGATTGAGGTATACCTGACGAGAAGATGTGTCGTAATTTCCCGAACGCTGCCCAGCCGAGTTGAATCCGTCGATTGACCTATCGGTCGAAGTTGGACTTACCTAGTCGGACTATTTGTCCCAGGTAAACGTACTCGTCAACAACTTCGAGCATAGTGCTCCCAACAACTACCGGCATAGGTGTGACATGGACCGCCCTAGTATTACATATCTAGTGTATATTCACTTCTCGCACTATCGTCACATTCTATTCAAGTCCAATTCAGGCAGGAAAATACCATCATAGTTTATCAATTAGCCCATATCATACCCTGGTGTGGGTGCCTTAAGAGGCGATAGGGCAAAAATAATCCAGGAGATGGCCAGCATCATCTATCAGATAACTAAATAATAATTAAAAAACTGCTTTAAACTTAAACAACTTTAAACAAACTTTGACTATTAAAATAATAATAAAACCAATTTTGGTTGTAAAGTGTGGCTATTATGGCAATATTGAATATTTCATAATTGCCCCAGCATTAAAAAAGATACAGAGATGTCCTCATGTGTCTCATTATATGGTGTTGATAGGAGACTTCAATGTAAAACTACATGCAAGAGAAGACAGTGAGCCATATATAATAAATAAATAAATAACAGGCCAAGAGCTGGCTGACTTTCTAAAAAAGGAAGAAATAAACATTTATGAAAAATGCTCACTTTTTGTTTTTGTATGTGACATAATTGTATGCTACCTTCGTGGACCACTGGTTAAGAACTACTGACATAAAGAGCTGTATATTTTCCATGTTTTATATACCAATAAAGATTTGAATTCATATCTGGTTGGAATAAATAAATATTTACTGCTGCTGCTAGCACCACAGCTGTTTCATATTATGAATGTGAGCCTCCTCCAAAGATTCCCTCTTATAGGGGATTTTATACATAGTTACCATACATAGCACACTCACAGGGTCACAGAACGATATGGGTTAGAGGATATTCTTACACCATCACTACAGTCCAAAAATTAATACAAATATGTAAAATTTACAATTCTACAAGTGAAATTTTTGACCATTTTCCATTTACATACCAATTTTTTTATATAGAGCATTTTGTGATCCAGGTCTTTGTATTAATACTATAGGGACATTTTGTAATGCTGGATCGTCTTCATTAATTTCTCCTGGTACTAATTGTGTTTTTGTTATGTGTTCTATAAATTGACCATTGGTCATTTGTTTCTCCTTAATGTGCTCATGAAGGCTGATATTCCAAATAGGCGAGTATGAAAGATAAGGTGGGATTTCAAGTAATAATGCTGTATTAACACCTTCATTGTTATTGTTATGTGCCTTAGTCCGATATGATGGTCTGCTGAGACGTGGGTCTTTTATTATTAAACCAATAATTACATGAGGAGGTAACAGTGAAGGTGAACTAGCCCGTTTTGCATTTTCCCAATAGTCATGTTTTTCTTTTATATGTAGAAATGAAGTATTATTAATATGTGAAAGCCAGTTTTTATCAGGAAGTTTATTTAAACTTGTAACACATTTTATAGTGTTATTAACAACAGCTTGGCTTTTAGGACCAGTTAAACGAAATATGTTAAATATTCCATTCTTAATATTAATATTTAAATCAGAATATTTGCTTGACATTTTTCTTTTCTTTTCCATATGTTCAAGACTTGAGTTTTCTAATTTAGAATTAGTTAAATTTGTAAAAATTGTCTCCAGTTGTTTAATTTGAGAAGGATGGACAAATAACCACAACTCTTTTTTAGAATCATCATTTTGTATCCAAACAAATCTAACTTTTCCAATATAACAAAGTGGATATAAATCTGGTTTATAAATGTGAATAATTCCTTCTCTATTTCCTGTGATATATGCTTTTGCAGAGATACTTATTCCACATGATCTACTAGTAATGCAACTAAACATGTCACTTATAACATCCACTGGACCAGTTATTTGGACTGGAGTGTAATATGAAATATCTTGTAATAAACAATGTGCAGAACTTGCTCTGTAACACGCTCGAAAGGCTTTGTCACAAGGTCGATCCGCTAGTCGGTATCCCCAGCGCTCAATCATGTGAAATCTTTTTGCATGCCAAATGTGTGTCTCTAACCAAATGTTTTTCTTCTGGCGTCTATTATATTCGTTTAATAAATTTGATGGGCGCCGCCTATATTTCCTAGATGGTCGTTTTTGTTTTGGAGGCAGCCCGCTCTTTTTCAACTGTTCTAAGTGGCCTTCACGTAATTTTCTTGGTAAACGTTTACAATTGTGACTCATAACTCTTCGCCTCATATGAACCGGAAGAGTTTGAAAAATTAACTTAGTTTTACTTGGACGAAGAATGCTTTCAGACATAGCTGCGATTTCAATGCTTCTGGAAGCTGTAAACTTAAAGCTATTTGCAGAAAATGGTAGATGTTCTGTACCACCTAAAGTGGCATCGAATTGTGATGTTTCCATTATGATGGTTTATGGCCCAAACAAAACCAATAATGAAAAAAGAAAAGTGTCGGGTTCAATAATACCTATCTAAACTTCCAGACTATTGAAATTGAAAACTTAAACTTAACCTACACAAACTAATGCGGTATACGTCACAGATACGACAGTGACCATAGATTACTGACTATATACTAGACACTAGACAGCAGAGTTTCCACTTACAATTTTGGTTTGTCCCTATTTTTTTTAGGATTTATCCCTAAAATTCCCTAAACGATCTTAAAAATTCCTATTTTTAAGGAGCATATTTTTATTCGAGAAATTATACAATAATTTATTATTTTGAATATTTATTAATAAATCAACAAAAGATCAATCACCAAAAACCAGATCAGACAGAAGATTTAGAAGCTGAATCATTACTTTTGTAATATTTTGCTGCACTTATCATGGCACTGTTGGGTTCTAAAATTGAGCAATTGTTTGCTTGCATTCCGAACTTTGTGTGAAACAAGCCGTTCAGAGTTTCGTTAGAAAGTCTATTTCTTTTATCTGTTTTTACATTTTTTAGAATACTAAATAATCTTTCTACCTCAGTATTTGAAGATGGAACTGCTAGTAAAACTGAAATAACTACTTCAAGATTTTCGTAAATGAAATTACCATGATAATCTTTCATGCTTAGAACCTTATTCCAATAAATGTCAGCTGGCATGTTTTTTAATTCTTCTTCGCTTTCAACTCCAAAATGCTTTAAGTCTATAAGAGCTTGATTTCTCCATTCGTTATCTCCTTTTTGCATGTTGCATTTTGTCGTTAAAAAGTTAAATTTATCAAAAACATCTTTCACTGATTGTTTCTCCAGATTTCTTGCTATTTTTGGATCCACATACTTCAATATGTCGAAAAGTTTCTCATTCAAGTCGAACCGCTTTTGGATTTGCAATACTATTTCCACATAAAATTCACGACAACTAGCATAAAATTTGTTCACTTCTTCTATTGGGGCTTTTGTCTTTAAATCTTCAAGTATCGCATGTGCTTCCATACCAACGTATATATGATCATTATTGAGGTGAATTTCTGTTTTAGTGACGTCAATTTGCTTAAGGCTCTTTAGATCCGAGCTCAGATTCAGGTGCTCCTTTTTGACAAAGTTGCACAAAAAAGTGTTCAACATTTTCCGAACCATCACTGGCAGTATAAATAATTGTGGTGATTTTGTTTGAAAAAATGTATTAAAATCGTTAGTTATAGAGAAGACGTAACTCATGAAGTGTAATAAAGCTTTATTAAATGGGTTGTTAAGACTGTTCAAGATGGAATCATTTGTATTAGAGGGATCCTCAAAAACTGCCCCCGTAAAAAATAATTTCAATGCATCATACTGCTCTAATATCCTGTCGACACAAGCTTGAAGTGACAACCATCTTGTATTTGCTGCAGAAAGTAATTTATGTTGGTCAATTTTTAGAAAATCCTGAAACTGTTTGAGTGCTTCTGTTCGCTTAGGGCTCATATGAAAATATGCAGGTATATTACGGCACAAATCTTCTAAATTTTTAGGTAGTTTACGGGAGGCATATGATGTGGCGAGATGTATTAAATGGCATGAGCACTCTATAACGACCAGATGTGGAATTTCGGTTTTTAGTAAAGCCTGAACTGAATTGTGCTTTCCCATCATTACGTTCGTCGTATCTGATGTAAGTCCGAAGACATGATCAAGAGGTACTTCATGTTTTGAAAAACTTCCTTTTATTGTTTGGAGGATACCTTTTGCCGTTCCATCAATCATATCTATCAAATCAAAAAATCTGTATTCTACTTTTTTTGTCAAACTATTAAAAAATGTTATAATAATAGCCAACTGTTTTTTCACAGACAGATCTGTTGTTTCATCTATTATTATATTAAAATAGCTGTTCTTCATGATATATCAATCACTTCTTGTTTATATGTCGCTCCTGTGACTTGACGTAAAATATTTGTTGCTTTTTGTTTTCCTAGATGCACGTCATCTAAACATTTCGATTCCGGAAACAAGTTTCGCAACAGCGATACAAAATCATCGACTAAAGAAATTGGTAGATCATGTTTCGCAAGAAAGCCGCACATTTTTAATTCCATTTTTAATACATTAGTAGCGTGCGTCTGATTTTTGTTCAAAAAAGTTGACATTCTTCCACATTGCGAAATAACAGCCATCTTTTTGGTGTGTTTAGCACTGTTTTTATGTTTAAGTAATTCGGACATTCCACATACAAGATCACAATCGCATATTTTACAGTAAGCTTTTGTCTCACCTTTATCAGATTTCTTCAGCCAAGTCTTAAAATCAGGATGCTCCAGCCAAGAAGTTTTAAATTTTTGCACGTATTTTCTTTCCTTACTTGCTGACTTTAAAGTCGAAGAGGATGGTGTTTCATTATCTTCTTCCATTTTAAATTACTTACAATTTAATCGAAAAGAAAAATTTTTTTTTATATTCCAAGGTGCAATTCGGAGTTCAGTATGTAAATGAAACAAAACTAATCAAATCAAGCAAGCCTTGGTAGGTATACATAATATGACTAAGTTCCGACTACATCTAAAACAACGGAACTGATATTATAAATGACAAATTAAAATTGGACGGATTACATTCATTAATAGTACGGGGGGATTCCCCTTTCAAAAATAAACCGCGGGCGGTGGCACCATAGAGTTTGTACATACTACAACAGGGTTACCATCATAAGTTTTGATTTTCCCCGAATTTCCCTAAATCCCTGTCTTATTAAAATAATCCCTAGTCATGTACAATTTCACTTAGTTTTCCCTAAAAAAGGGAAAAATCCCTAAAAGTGGAAACACTGCTAGACAGTGACTTTTAGTCAAGTTTCCCAACTACGCCTTTTGGCGCTGCAGTCGCCCAATTTGACAGATGAGTAATGACTATACAATTTAGTATAGCTATGTATAGCTTAGGGATTGCAAGCACACATCCTTCAAATTATCGATATCGATGTTTAGTGGTGTTTTTATTTTATCGATATCGACATAAGTGCATTATACAGGAATAATAATACTTAATGAAACAATTATAATACATCTAATTTATTTATTTTTTATTGAAGCACACCAACATCATATACATACAAACGTAATCTTAGGATTAAATTAAAAGTACATTAAGTTATATAACCAAATTAGAAAATTGTGCATAACATTTTACATAAATAAGTACAATTTGATGAGAAACAGAGCAATATTTATAATTCATTAAATAAAGCAAATTAATCCACAGGAATCATTCAAGTGCTTAATATTTTACTTTTCAAGTTATTTTTTATTAGAAGCAATGCTATTTATTTTTCATCTGGGGTGCACCTGGCCATTCTTTTACAAAAATTAAAAAAACATCTTCTCTTCTTTAATTTCATTTTCTACACCACGTAACCTGAAAAGAAATAAATAAAAATAAAGTCCAATATTCATATTTTATGACTTAATGTAAACATTAAAGTAACAAAGGGTGGCTTCATGGCAGTTGGCATTTTTTATCAGTCAACCCATGGTGTGTTGAAAATAAAGTGGTAGATGCAGTAAATAAGAAATAAAAAACATATAAATATTAACATGGTATATATCTATTATCAGGAGCTTTCTCAATGTCTTCAGGCACGGAGTTCCAAATAAGTGTAACCTTAATACTAAAGGAGTTGTTGATAAAACCATTGAAGTGTAGTGGAACTGTAATCTTTAGATTAGATGAAGAACAAAGAACTCTAATCGTGATTTGAGGATAGATATGTTGAATATAGATATAATGGATGTTATCTTATCTTACCTAATTATGCCTAAGAATAAACTGAATTTATCATACCTTTATGCCAATGTGTACATTTTGTTATCTTCTGGCAACATTTGTCTCACCACATCAGCATTAGATTTCTATTCCTGAAAACAAACAATGTTTGTGAATTTTATGTTCTTATACATAAATCCAAAATTAAAGAATAAATATATAATGTTATACTTCTTTATTGTATGTATTAATGCTGTATGGCTACTGTTAACAACAGTTTAGTATAATGGTAATTAAAAGTGATCTATATTATCATATAACTAAGTTATATGGCAATTGTATGTGGTAGAGCCATGCTGCAGGTATATTACTGGTATAAACAATTTGTTATTTAGAATTTTATTATAGCTAGTTGTGTAATTTAATTCCCTTTATAATTTTGCTTAATTATGATCAATATAGTGTAATCATACTTTAAATTAATGCCAAATGTAGCACTTAACTCATAATAAATATATTTAACTTATTTAAGAATATTTTGACTTCAAACTTTTGTAATTAAACTATTAATAGCTTATGTACCTACATCTTAAAGCTAGACTAATATTATTTCATGAAGACTGCTATATAGCTAGTTTTGTTGTTAAATACAAGTACTTACTATAACTAAGATTAAACCAAAAATATACTAAATATACCTTTTTATATCAATCCTACATAAGTTTTAATAGTTATAAAAAAGGTAATTATAATTATCTCAACCCACGGAAGAGCTAAATAGAATCATTTACTCTGATTCGTACTGCTAACTCGAGTTGAAATTCACACAAAATCAATTCATAATTTTTCCAAGTTGGCACATCTATAAGATCAGAATTCCTAATACTTATTCACTTCACTTAGTTGTTGTTGTTTTAACTTTCATTAATCATTTCACCATATCGTTTCATTATTAACCACAGCTTTTTTGGTGATTTTTTACTCCTGCATTTATATATTTAAGTAATTATAGTGAAAAATAGCCTGTAACTGTGTAATAATGGTGAAAAATCACCTGTTACAGTGCAGCCAATAGATAATCTCACTTTTACTTATTCTACAATAACTCAGTTCCTACATTGACAAATCTTGCGAGATTTTCAGCTATAAATTGTCTATATAGTATATGCTTACAAATGGTCGTACTTTTATCTTGTTAATACTTGGGCCCAAGAATGTATAGAGACGTGTCCTTCTCCTTTAAGTACCAGGGTTGAAAGTAATAAAATGATTCACCTGTTGCAGTCAGAGGCACACCATGATCTATTCAGTATTCATCATTGTCAGTAAGCAAGGACGGGTAAGAGTAACGAAGTTTTCTGCCTTCATTGTCGAACTGAAATAAGTATATCAAAATGTTCTTCACAGACACGTTTGTTAAGTAACTGTTCTTTGGAAAGTACAATGAGCTGGGGATTTGTCGGCACTATGAAAGACATCCACAAGTTTCTTAAATTATCGTTCCTAGGGAATCTGAAAAGCCGGTGCGCTTCACGTGTTGTATTGCAACCACCAATACAACACTTTTCGTATACCATTATGATGGTATTTGCAATGTTCACACGAGCAGCACAAAAACAGAATATTGTAATAATTGAGGAAAATTTGGATAATTAATGGTGGCAATCAATTTTGATTTTTGACAATATGATTTGACATTAACAGAATATGGCGTCTCAAAATGGCGTCCGTAGACAGAGAACAAATTGCGACGGTGGCGCCAAGTTGCGTAGAATGGAACTAAGCTGTCACGGGCCGATAAATATGTAGCAAGCTACGTCAAACTAAAACACCTACGCACCGTAGACAGAGAATCCTACTACGCACAAACACAAAACCAAAGAGCACAAAACCATCACCACTACCACTTTTAAAATTTTTGGTTTGGATGCTTGTCGTTTAAACCATGTCTTCATTTCATTCGTGATTTTCGTTTTTATAGATTTTTTCTTCACAATATGCTGATGCGTCACACTGCTAAGTTTTTGGGAGATTTTGACGACAGTTCAACTCAGCGTACAGTTGATGACGACAGCCAATCAAGTTTATAAGGCGCCCAAGCGATCAAAATAACTTGAGGTTTATATCAACCTCAAAGCACTTGTTTCGTCGTCTTCTCTAATGGTTCACACGCACAGACACTTAATTCACAAAACCGCATCACTTTTACGAATCAAAATTCACTTCAAACCATTTTTCAAGCGGCAGAACAGGAGCGTCAACGGCCAAGTTCCCGCCAAAACTCAATCAAAATGCAGATGCGTTGTCACCCATTAACGCATCTGCATCAGATTTGTGAAACTTTACCCCTTTTTTAATACTTTATTATAAAATCTAAACAAAAAATAAAAACCTGTTCGGCAGACAAACCCGAATGGATTTTAACTTATCGAGAGCTAAAGTTATGGCGTACATCACTACATTGCAGTTCTTTCGGTTGCAGTGACACCAGTTAATTTTCGAAAATTTATTTGGCCTTTATTTTGTATAATATTTTTATAAAGACTAATTATCGATTATATTAAATTATAATATATTCAGAATCGTGTTGGGATTGAGCTGATTATTTAAATCATTTGACAAAATCCACTACATATCTTAATGCAATGATTATTATTCACCACAAACTGATGTAATGAATACGAAATTTTAGTTAATTATTTATTTTGTGTAGTAAATTTTATTTATTTGGAAATCGCTTGGGAATGGAAAACAGCTGATATTTTACGTAAATACTCAGAAAATACGAGTTTTAATGATAATATTATGTTAAATGTATTCACAGATAAAAAGTCACGTTTTCGTTTCGTAGATTTAATGGTTTTGATTGTTTTTGCATGAAAATACACTAAAATTCGACATTTTTGTCAGAGCTGAATTGACTGGGACGATCACTTGCGTAATGGCGCACGATACGGAGCAACTAGTTTTATATAACTGCTATGACTCGGACTATCGTACCTTTCACGGAGGGGTATGCCTTGCGATGCCGTATCATTTGGTTTAATACTCAAAGGGGGATATAGACAAAAATACTTTCATTGTCTTTGGCAACGGGAATTTCCCGGAATATTTTATACGTTGTGTACCGTATTCACTCACTCGTTCAATTACTTATTCGTTGTAGTCTTCGTTCGATCTGTCGATGTTATTAGTCAATCTGATTTACATGTTCATTGATAATACTAGCAAGGTTACCGAAACTCAAATTGAAACTGAATATATTTAGGTATATAATTAAAGTGAAAAATTAAGATTTATTATCATAAAGAACTAACATCAGCTTTCACGTAAGTACCTATGTATTTTATTTTTAATATTATATTTGACGTTTGCTCCCTGCCTGTACCTACAAAATTAATCAATTTTGGTGTTTTAGAATATTATTGACATTTATTAAAAATATAAAAATTTCAGAATGCCATTTAAAAAAATTTATGCCCAAAATATTTAACGAAGTGAAGACAAAGCTGAAAAGAATCTTATCTCAAGTTGATAACCTGTCACTGACCACAGATGTTTGGACAAGTAATTCCACGGAGTCATACATTACAATTATTGTACACTTCAAAACTGCCCTGAAAGTTGTGTACTAACTATTACATCTTTAACAGAGTCGCACACAGCAGATCATTTAAAAGATGTAATTAACTTAATAGAGAAGTGTAAAAAAATTGTTAAATATTTCAAAATATCTAATTATGCATCTAATGATGTCTAATTATGCCGTGTAGTGGCGGTTGAGAATATCCACTACCCCATATCTTCCCGTGGGTGTCGTAAAAGGCGACAGACGGAGACAGGCAGGAGATGGGCAGCAGCATCTCCCTGATAAAAACTGTGATAAAATAAAAAACTGCGGTTGCCAACCCGCTCGCCAAGCGTGGCAACTATGGCAAATATCCCCCCATGAATAACGACGCAAAAAAACGGCCCCCAGTCCCCGGCGGCCCCGCTATTCCTGGCCACAAAAACTCTCCGATCACACTCTTAATCTCATGGCTGTTAGACGGGAGATGAGGCTGCAATCGTCATCAGATTTGACAGCATACAGGCAACTGAACAAACAGATCTCCAAATGCATGCGGCGAGACTTACGCAACTTTAATACTGCTCGTATTAAAGAAGCGATCGAGCGGAACCAGGGCTCCAAAGTCTTTGCCAGAGATCTGTCTGCCAGAAAGAGCCAACTGTCAAAGCTGAAGACTGAGTGTGGCAGAATCGTTTCCGAGACACCTGAGATTTTGAGTGAGATTGAGAGGTTCTATGGGCAGCTGTACACATCATCGTTGGAGCCACACGCAAGTGTAAGTAACGATCCAAGAGCAAGTCTTACCCGACACTATTCCGATGATATCCCGGACGTCAGTCTGAGCGAGATTAGAATGGCTCTCCACCACCTTAAAAACGGCAAGGCCCCGGGCGAGGATGGAATTACAGCGGAGCTTCTGAAAGCGGGTGGAACACCGGTACTTGAAGTCCTCCAGAAGCTCTTCAATTCCGTCCTCCATGGTGGCACTACTCCGGAGGCGTGGAGCAGAAGCGCGGTGGCCTTGTTCTTTAAGAAATGCGACAATGCTCTCTTGAAGAACTACAGACCGATTTCCCTTCTGAGCCGCGTCTACGTGCTGTTTTCGAGAGTCATTACGAATCGTCTCGCACGCAGACTCGACGACTTCCAGCCTCCCGAACAAGCCGGTTTCCGAAAAGGCTTCAGTACCATAGACCATATACATACCCTGCGGAGATTGTAAGAGAGAAGGTATCTGCCACTTTGCCTGGCATATGTGGACTATGAGAAAGCCTTTGATTCCGTCGAAATTTGGGCGGTGCTACAGTCCCTTCAGCGCTGCCAAGTTGACTGTCGGTATCTCGCAGTGCTGAAGTGTTTGTACAGTAGGGCTACGATGGCTATTCGAGTACAGAACCGGAGTTCGAAACCTATCCAACTGCAGAGAGGTGTAAGACAGGGTGATGTTATATCCTCGAAACTCTTCACCGCTGCGTTGGAAGACGTTTTCAAGCTACTGGACTGGAAAGGATACGGTATTTTAACATCAATGGCGAGTACATCACTCACCTTCAATTTGCCGACGATATAGTCCTTATGGCAGAATCGCTGGAGGACTTAAGCACTATGCTCAATGACCTCAATTGTGTCTCCCAACAGATAGGTCTTAAGATGAACATGGACAAAACAAAGATCATGTTTAATGTCCATGTCACACCTATGCCGGTAGTTGTTGGGAGCACTATGCTCGAAGTTGTTGACGAGTATGTTTACCTGGGACAAATAGTCCGACTAGGTAAGTCCAACTTCGACCGAGAGGTCAATCGACGGATTCAACTCGGCTGGGCAGCGTTCGGGAAATTACGACACATCTTCTCGTCAGGTATACCTCAATCTCTGAAAACTAAAGTGTATAACCAGTGCGTGTTGCCAGTGATGACTTACGGATCTGAGACGTGGTCCTTCACTGCTGGCCGTATGAGGACGCTCAAGGTCACTCAGCGAGCTATGGAGAGGGCTATGCTCGGAGTTTCACTGCGTGATAGACTCAGAAATGAGGATATCCGCAGTGAAACAAGAGTGACCGACATAGCCCAATGGATTAGTAAGCTGAAGTGGCAATGGGCCGGCCATATAGCTCGAAGAACCGATAACCGATGGGGAAGAAAGGTTCTCGAGTGGCAGCCTCGTACCGGTAGGCGTAGTGTAGAGTGACGACCTGGTAAGACATGCAGGAAGCCGATGGATGCAGGTGGCTCAGGACCGTGCTTTGTGGCATTACTTGGGGGAGGCCTATGTTCAGCAGTGGACTTGTGAAGGGCTATAATGATGATGATGATGATAATGATGAATTATGCCACACTGAAACTCCGCAAAGAACAAGAAGAAACTAATCCAGATGCAGAACCATTACAGTTAATACAGGAAGTCCCATTACGCTGGAATAGTGTTTATTATATGATAAAAAGAATTTTTAAATTAATGGACAGTATAACCGCCGCACAAAAAAAAACTGCCCCAAGCACATTCTATTATTATCTTCTGGGAAGAAGAAAAAATATTAAAAGATATGGTGCTTTTGCTAGATGTATTTGATCAAGCCACTCAATTGATAAGCGGAGACCAATACACAACATCCAGTTTAATAAAACCAATTAGGGGCTGTTCGATAATATTTAAAGTTTGGGCCCCAGAATCTCTACAACGGTTGATGAAATATTATTTTGAAAGATTATATATACTGCAAACACTGAAAAAAAGTGTGAACGATCGCTTATTGGATTACAAATCTAGAATTGTTTGCCGAATTTCCACCATACTGCATCTCGTTTTCAGGAATAGCTTTAGACAACTAAAAAATAAATTGGCTGCTAAAGAAGCTGTAAAGGCAGAAATTAACAACATTTTCGGGTAAGAAACGTAATTTTTTTACCCAAAAAAAAAAAAAAAGGGGTTTTTCGTGTTTTTTCTTTTTGGGTCGTTTGTGTTTTCTTTTTTTTTCTTCTAGGACCTCAAAGTACAGAAGAAATAGTCACGTTAAGTGAGACATGTACAAGCGAAATAGGTTGCACAGATTTGCTAGGATTTCTAAAAAAGAATACCAATAATGCAGATATGACTTCAGCTACAGCAATAAATTTATTAAAAATTTATACAGAAACACAATTTCCAAAAAAAGTCATAACTGGGGTAATGTGGTGCAATTTCGAAATTTAATAGACAATTAAAACCTTTAGACGAAATAGCTTTTAAATACCTAGCTGTGTCTGCAACTTCTGTTCGATCAGAGTAGGGATGTCGGAAATGCAATAAAGTATCGATACATATCAATATCGATATTTTTATTTAAAATATCGATATATCGGTACGATATGAAAAAAAGGTCTAACCTACTTCAGTCATCTTAGGTTCATTACTATTAGATAAATACTAATCAATAGAAAACATTTTTAATAATTCAAGAACAACGATAAAAAATATTAATTATTTATTAACTAAACCAATATCTATCTGATACAGACATTAGAAATACTCTTTGATTTATGTGCTCGGCTGTAAGCCGACTTCTGTTATTGGGTACTGCGAGATTTACAGCAGATGCCACTCTCTCTGAGGAAACCGACGACGCAGGCGATATCAAATACTTTACAGCTATATCGGAAAGAACTGGGGTAAAATGGCGACAATCAAACCAAAATTTTGTTGGATTCTCCTTTCTGGGTATTATAGGCTGATCTAGGTATTGCTTTAGTTCGCTAGGCATTCCATCACAGGTTGAAAGTGAACTGGAGTTTGTTGAAGCTGCAGCAATATCTACCAAAATTTTTTCATGACCGGACCACAACGACGGCGAAGAATTTTCTGAGTTTGTTATTGTGGTAGTAGATCTGCATCTGAGTTCAGGCGATAATTGTCCTCTACGTCTATGTTCTAAACGTATTTCTTTTGACAATGCGCTTATTGCAGTGGAAACAGCCAGAGCGAAATTAAAATGAATACGCTTAAAGCGAGGGTCTAAAATTGTTGCTTTAGCAAGATGTAAATGTCGCTCTAGTGGTTCTAGTTTGACAATAACTAAGTTTAGCAAACTCTTCTGAACAGCAACACCAAATTCGGTGGAAGGTTTCATTTGTTCAAGTCCTTTCTGAAGTAAGTTTGCAATAGGAATCGCTAAACTAGAAGTCACTTACTGATCGCCGCTAATTTCTTCAGTAGCTTGCTTAAATGGGGTAAGCAAGATCTCGTATGACACTTATCTCTGAAGAAGATATCATATCAGGTGCATTCCGCCTGGTTGCCAAAATATTAGCCACAATAGCTGATAATGTATTAAATCTTTCCAACATGTCAAGACAAGAATTCCACCTTGTGCTTACTGATTGTATAAGTGTTAACACTTCTCCCTCTTTCTTTTTTCCCTCTTGCTCTCCTCATAAATCGTCCATTGCGTTTACAGATTGTTTAAAATATGTTACGATGGCTTTGACACGATTGGCAATTTGTAGAAATGGTCCATTATCTCTTGTTGCCCCATCCACTATTAAATTCAGCAAATGCGCCATGCAAGGAATTCTTTTTCGATCTCCCAAATATTGTTTCACTGCAGCAACCATGTTAGCACCACCGTCAGTGGTGATTGATAAAATGCAATCCTTTTCTATTGTGAACTCTTCGGTAATATTTTCAAAGCATTCTTTTATATAATCAGCTGTGCGTGCCTGTACGAAAGAAGACCAATATTAGTCCACTTCATTAAATTTATTATTTATATTATTTTTTATAATTTGATGCATTTATTTTATACTTTTCTTACCTGATACATTCTCCGTGCTGTCAATGTCACCATCTCATGCTCAGGAATGCAGTTATCTGCAGTGTTAAGGAAATGCGCTGTCACTAAGATGAAACTTCGTGTCGAGTTGGTAAGAGTTAATATGTCACTTGTTAAAGCAATATTATTTTTCTCACTTAATTTTTGTTTTAAAATGGCTTTGGTAGTGGCATATCACTGTTCCATGAATAAAAAAGATAAGATAATAATTTAATATTAGGTATACTTTGCTTACAGTAGTTCGAGATGGAACCTTATAGCGTGGACAAACGACACTCATAAATCTTTTCAATCCAGGTTTTTCTACACTAGATAGAAACGTGTTGTCTTTGCAGATCATGTAGATCAAAGTTTGATTTATTTGGCTAGTTTTTTGACCCTAAAATGAAAAATATAATAAATGAGAACCTACTCGTAGAACTAAAATATAAACAATGCTATAATCTGATATCAATAAAAAATACCTTCATAACTTGAACTTCTTTCAAACATATCTATGAGTGTAGTTTGTTTCCGTGTACAAGTCTTTACTCTGACGACCACCATCTATGGAGGATTCAGTCTGAAAAATTTCATTGAACATTTTGCACATATTTCATTACTATTGTCGAGAAAAATACATAACGATATAAGTTTAAGTAAAAACACTAAAATATATATTTATCGATATCGATACTTTTAGTAATCACACATCATTCGTTGACTAGTTATTAGTTATAGAAGATTAACGAATGATATTTACATTCTACAGGCTCTAAAGTTTAAAGCTACGTTTGGCCTTGCACAAATAAAATACTTACACCAGTATCATCGTAAATTGCAGATTCAGACAATTCCATGAAGTTATTTTCTGTCTTAGCAGGTTCATTAGTAATAGATGAACTAGTAGACGGAACGGGCGAACTGGTTCTTGTTGTCATTCGTTTAGGTTCTGAAGAACTTGGTGTAATATCCACTTCACTTGACGACCTTGCGTTTTTATTTTTAAGATGGAGAAACGCATGGTGATGCTTATTTTTTTAGATGTGTAGCTAAATTCGTCGTATTGCCACTGGTTTAATATCTTTTTCCACACAGATTACATGAAACCTTTTGTTTGTATACTTTTTTAAAAAAGTTCCATACAACACTAGACATGACTGGAATGCTCAAATTAATTATTGATTGAATTAGTAAGTTTGTAGCCTACAATCAACTCAAATGCAGAAAAACGCGTGCGTTGAGGTTCGTTACGGATAACGGACGGACAATGACAATTGAATAATTTTTTTTGGTTAATTTTCTCGTTCCTAACGAAGCAAGAAGGCAAAGGGATCTGAGCCCATACAGCCTAATCAGATACACAAATGAATGAAATTACTGAACTGAACTGACACATCTCACATGTGTCATTGACTTAAAGACAGAGTTGCCAACTTAAAAACCAACTTAAGTACCAAATTAAAAAGCAGAAAATATCGTTTTTGATACAATTTCGATATTGGATATTTGATATCGATATATCGTAACAAAATATATCGCCCAAAAATATCGATATATCAAATTGAAAATATCGATATATCGATATTTATTCGACAAGCCTAGATCAGAGAGAGTATTTTCAACGACAGGTCACATACTCAATAACAGAAGAAATATGTTGCGCCGTGATGCTATTGACTTGTTGTGTTTTCTCAATCAAAATCAGCATTTATTATTATCTGTAAACATATGTTTTTAATAAAATTTTGAGTAAGTAAAAAAGAATGTTAGTTTACATCATAATACAATCTATTACAACATACATGGTACATTTGTTTCCTAAGGAATCTTGCTGTCAAGTCATTTGAGCAAATAGCTTTATTCTCCGGTGCACCGATGAATTCACCGGAGACTGCCTAACAACCGGTGAATTCAATCGCTTGTCAAAAATATGTGGCGTAATTATATTTTATATTAATTAGATTAAAAATAAACCAAACCACGGATATTGAAATAATACTAGTTTTACGGAATTTATCGCGTATATTTAACTTTTTAATGCCCGACGTTTCGAGAGCTTTACAGCACCCATGGTCACGGGAAGGACTGAGATGTTCAACGTAGTGATGGGGGTTGAATCAACGAACGGTTTAAATAGACGGTCTACGTTCAATCGACGCTTCGACGGTCACAGTTCATTCGTTAACTAGTCGAATTCATAGACGGCTAAACTGAGAGTTCACAGCGTTCTTATCTACTGACAACGCGACGAGGACGCCGTAAACATACTCGGTTAATATAAGTACATGTGTTGTGTGTTCGTTGAATTAGTATCACTGATCAAACCAATTTGAACCTTAAGTGTACGATGTAGGAATTAATATTTCCTTTTTAATAGAATTGTTTGAGTGAAAAGGCAAGAGCATTCTGATATTGCACGAAAGAGTATGTCGACGGACTGGTGGACTATTGTTTACCTAAAAGTTGCCGTTGTTTAGAAATTTGAAATTAGTGTGTCGACTGTCGACTCGCGTCGCGTCGTGCGTGACTCGCGAGTGCGTATTTAGTGGAAAGTTCGTTTGAATGTTTATGAGTTGAATTTTTACATATTTAAATGATTTTAGATATTGTAAGTAATTAATTGTAAATATAGAATAGAGACATAATATGTATAGTGTAGTGAATAACAGTTTAGTGTAGTTAAGTGTAGAATTATTCAACAATAAATTTTGTTGTTATTTAAAATGGCGGGACGTAGTACTAGTGAATTATGGCATCACTTTCAAAAGGAAGATTCAAGTGGGAAAGCTACTTGCAACTTATTTAAGGACAAACTTGCTTATAAATCTACGACTGCGAATCTAAAGAGCCACCTAAAAAGAAAGCATGTGTCCATATTTACATCGTTGTTATCGCAATCAAATGCCCAGACTTAGCAACAGCCACGTCCTTTCCCTGTATCGCAAGTGGATGATGTAGATATTAAAGATCCTAGCTTACCTGGCTCGAGCGGGTCTATCCAGAAAAGGCAAAAAAATTTGGACTCATTTTTGCGTAAAAAAATAAATAGCGAACAAAAAAAGCAGATTAACTTAGACTTGCTAGATTTGTGCACAGATAGTTTCCATCCATTTTCGATAGTGGAAGAGAGAGTGCTTAAAAAATTCTGCCGTTGGATACTTGGATACCAGCTACCCACAAGGAAGACGCTGTCGAAGTCAATTATGCAAGAAGCATACGTTAAACTATATAATGTAACACAGACTCAACTTAGGCAGGAGGTTCAGAGCATATGCCTAACTGCAGATGTGTGGACCTCTTTAAAAACTGAGAGCTTTATTGCCCTTACTGGGCATTATTTAACAGAAGAGCTGGTGTTAAAAACTGTACTGTTGGGATGCTGTCAGTTTCCAGGCCACCATACAGCCGGTAACAACACTGCAGAGATAACTGCATTAGTGGATAAATTGTGCATAAAACATAAAGTAAAATTTATGATAACGGATAATGCCGCTAACATAGTGAAAGCTGTTAAAGAGGTGTTTGGAATTTGGGATGGAAGCATTTTGGATGCTATGCGCATAGCTTAAATTTCATAGTCGAACACGCGCTTCAGTTGACAAAATCTTATATCGACAAAGTTAAACGCATAGTTGCGCATGTTAAAAAAAGCACACTGTCCTCTGTCTACAAAAATATCAGATTCAGCAAGGTCAAGAACCTAAGCGGTTGATCCAAGCTGTGGATACTAGATGGAACTCCACCTTTTTTATGCTTAAAAGATTTGTGGAGCTTGATGATGCCATCCGAGCAACTTTAGCTTTTGCAGACAGGAATTTGCCAACAATTAGCCCTGAAGATTGGACTCTTTTTAAGCAGCTATGCCAGGTTTTACAACCGTTTGAAGAGGTAACTGCATCAATGAGCGGAGAAAAGTATGTTACTGGAAGTTCAGTAATAATAGTGACACGATGCCTAAAAGAAGCTTGTCAAAGGCTCATAAATCGGGATGATATATTACCAGACGCGCTCAATATAGTGCTTTTGCTGAAATCGTGGTTAGACGACCGATTTCGACTTATCGAAACGAGTGGCACATTTGCATTGTGTACTTTCATGGATCCCCGTTTTAAAATGCAAGGATTTTCGGACCAATCCGAGGCAACAAAAACCAAAGAAAAGGTCAGAAAATTAGTAGCCGCATTAATTGCCGAGAAAGAACGCAACACAGTAACTATTGCTTTCACAGTCACTGAAAGTACCGCTAACCGCGACAACAACAGTGACGACCTCAGCCCTTGGAACATTTTTGACAAAATGGTGGCATCGAGTAAGTCGCAAGGTACACCTATTTCAAACGCCATAAAAGAGGTAGACATGTACCTTTCCGATGAAATTCTTCCAAGAAAGGACCAGATGGACCAAGATGGTAAGAAGGACATTTGGCGTGCCCCCTTGAATGGTGGAGAAAACACCAATACGTCTACCAAATTTAAAAAAAAATTCGTAACCCATTGTAATATTGTAGCAACATCTGTTCCTTGCGAACGGATGTTTTCTAAAGCAGGTCTTATAATTAATGAAAGGCGAACGACAAGTAAAGTTGAGCAAATTATGTTTTTAAACGTAAATACACCTGAGGAGAGATTTAAAGGGTTTTAAATTCATTTATAAAATAATTCACATTTACATGATTCTTCTGTACATATATTAATAAAAAACTAAAACAAAAAACGCAAATAAAAATATTCATTAAAACACCTATCCGTAAAAATATGTAAATAAAAAATTAAATAATTAAATATGTACATAAAATCTTCTAAATACGCCTGAAATACGATAGGAAAATCTTTTCAAAACGTATTCAGCCAGTCCTAAGCCTGGAAAAGTATGAAGGGAAGCTTAAATCAACTGATTGTACAATTCGATAGTAGGTATTTATACACTAGTCAGAGCTCAGAGTGCTTTTTATGAACAAAACTAGTTAAAGACACCGTCGTCATTGTGTTGCGCCCGCAGACACCGCGCTTTAGTCGATTGAACGTATGCCGTTATTGCCGTTATCGCGTTAACTAGTCGACGAATTCAACTAGTTGATCACCTAGTCGATCAACGGAAATAGACGGTCTAGTTTCGTTGACGAAAATTACGTCGACGACCCACCTCTATTCAACGTCCAGATGTCATAGTTAACCGCGGTTACTATAGATTAAAATTTAACTTTTGTTCCGATCTACACAGTATGAATTTATTGTATCATGAAGTCTTGCAGTTGTATGCTTGATTTGGGATTTAATTTTATTTATTATAGGATCCCAAGCAGATGGTAGCACCTAGCCATCTTCTCTATTGAAATTAGGATGTTTTTTGATTTCAATAGCCTCGCGAATCATCCTTGGAAGGAATCGGTGTTCTTTAGCGAGGATTTGTGGTCTATCAAATCTGATGTAGTGACGGGGGCGATCCTGTACGTGTTCACAGACTGCAGACCTCCCGGAGCGTCGATTCTTCACATCAGCTATATGTTCTTTAACGCGGGTTTTAATTGATCTTTTAGTTTGTCCTATGTAGGAGAGACAGCATTCACCATCAAGCTTGTACACTCCTGCATCTTGCACTTTTACACTTGACTGATGGTAAAAACTGACCAATCTTCTTCGGCGGCTTGAAGTATGTTTTGATGGAAGCGCGCTTCAAGATGTAGCCAATCTTGTCAGTGACTCCTCTAACATATGGCAGTACAGCAGGTACACGCTCGACTGTGGCCGGCTTCACTCGTTCTCTGTGACGTAGGCGCGGGACCCGAAGCTTGTTGTCATGCAAAACTTGCTTGACGTGTTGGAGCTCGGCAGCCAGGTGTTTACTGTCACAGATCCCTCGTGCTCCCTGAAACAAAGATTTACCCACGGTAGCTAACTGTGAAGGAAGGTGGTGAGAATCATCTTTTAAATATCTATCT